CGGGCTTCCTGTTTCTCTTGGGGTTCGGGGGCGTGGGGGGTGAGCCAGCCTGGGCACCCCGCACCGCAGCCTCTCAGCCCCTCAGCGCCCCTCTCGGTCCCCAGGATAAGGTGAACTTCGCGCTGTGCTCGGGCCCTCGGCTCGAGGCGGCCCTGGCCTGCAAGGACCGGGAGATCCTGCGGCTGCTGAAGGACGTCCAGCTGCTCCAGAGCTCACTGCAGGAGCTGGAGGACTCATCCGCGAGCCAGATCGCTGACCTGGAGCGGCAGCTCACCGCCAAGTCCGAAGCCATCGAGGTGGGTGCGGAGGTGGCGGCGCCCGGGGCGGGGGCGGGAAGGCGAAGCCCAGCTCAGCCCCTCCGTGGCTCCTTCCAGAAGCTGGAGGAGAAACTCCAGGCGCAGTCTGACTACGAAGAGATTAAGACAGAGCTGAGGTAGGGTGCGGCCAGGGCCCCGCGTGTCCCCACCCGCCCTTCTCCCTGGCCGGGTCTTGGGAAGGCCGCAGGGCCCCTCGGCCAAGCCCCGCGTCCTGCCCACCCCCCACCCGTGTCTTGGTCTCCCCTCCGCTGGCACCAAGCTGGGTCTTGGCTGTCAGTGCCCAGTTGCCTCCTTGGTGCGCAACTGGGCAGGCGGTGGCTGGCGTTGATCCGGCCAGGGTGGCTGTGGGTCGCTCGGGACCCTCCGGGTAACACCCGCCGTTCCCACGCCCGCCGCCCACAGCCCCGTGTCGGGCCGACTCCAGGGTTCTGTCGGGTCCGGGCGCAGGACGGTGCGTGAGCAGGTGCAGTGTACCTGCCCGGCCTTGCGCCCAGGGACCTGCCAGCCTCACGCTCCCCCTTTCCCGGTAGCATCTTGAAAGCCATGAAGCTGGCCTCCAGCACCTGCGGCCTCCCCCAGGTGAGCGTCTCCCCCAGCCCCGGGGTGGCCCGCGCCTCGGCCAGCCACGCCCTCCCAGCCTGGCTCCTCGTCTCCTCAGGCCATGACCAAGCCCGAAGACTCGCTGCTCCTGGCCAAGGAGGCCTTCTTCCCGGCACAGAAATTCCTTCTGGAGAAGCCCGGTCTGCTGACCAGTCCTGGTAGGGGAGGAGGGTGCTCTCGGGCCAGGGGCTGGGTGGAGGCTCGGGTGGGCCGCTGGCTTTCCTGCCGGGAAGCAGCCAGAGGCAGAGGCCGGAGGGGACGGGGCGGTCACGCAGCCCCACCTCCCGCCGGCCGCAGGCCCCGCGATGGGCCGCAGCCTGGCTCCGGCGCCTGCTGCTGCTCCCGGTGGCCCTGAGCAGCCCTGGGCAAGGCTCTTTCTCCCCGTAAGGGGGCTGCTTGCCAGTGCCACGTGGGTGGAGCCAGCGGGCAGAGTGCAGAGGCCGGGGCTGGCGCGGGGCCCCGGGAAGCCGCAGAGGCCACGGGGTGCAGGTTAATCCGAGCTGCTGCGGGGTGCGTGCTGGGCCCCCAGGTGGCCCCTGGGTCCCCCGGAAGCCTATAGCGCTTTCCCCCCCACACCCGTGTCCCCGTGTCTGCTCCCGCTGCCGGCCCCTGTGTGCGTGGCTTTCTCCCCTCCACCTCTGCTCCCACCTGCCCGCTCCTGTCCCCGCCCCCCCGCCCCTTCTCCCTGCCTTGTTCCCTCCTCTGCCTGTGTCTCCGCGTTCTAGAGGAGGACCCTTCGGAGGACGACTCCATCAAGGACTCGCTGGGCACAGAGCAGTCCCATCCGTCCCCGCAGCAGCTGCCACCCCCCCTGGGGCCCGACGACCCCCTGTCCCCCAGCCCGGGGCAGCCCCTGCTCGGCCCGGGCCTGGGGCCCGACGGCCCGAGGACTTTCTCGCTGTCCCCCTTCCCCGGCCTGGCGGCGGGGGACGTGCTGCTGTCCAAGCACCTGATGCCCCCGGCCACCTTCAAGGGGGAGGCGGGCGGCCTGC